TTTGAAACTGAGTTAAACAAATAAAAACTCAAAATATTGATACAAGTTTATCCTTAAAGAAAAGTTTTGTGTCAACTATAGGTGTTCTTATCCTCTCATCCATTTCTTGTATGACTCTGATACATGCAACAGATAAAAAGAAGAGTAATAAATATCTGTAAATAAACATTAAGAATAAACTATAAAGGACTGAAATCAATTATAAAGTGTAAACAAACATTAGGCATGTTTGATGCATATCTTTAAAAAGTCACAATATTCAAATCCAGTTAAAACAGTGTACACAGGTTATGGCTTTTAGGAATTAGGACTGATGATATTTTAGATAATGTAATTATTAATTCTTTGCTCGTGTCATGGAATACGTCATTTGGTGTAAAGGACAAGACCTTGAAGAATTACTAAAAGATCAAATAGATAGCCTAAGGGGTTAAGGAGATTGAAGAAAGATTCCAACCATGTGAACGTCTTATAAAAACAAACAATGTAAGATAGGTCCCCGGATTGTTCTTCTCTTCAAAGTTGTGAATGTGTTATTAAAAAAAAAAAAAATTGTGACTACTTGTGGTTGGTAGGCTTAATTACACTTTAAATTAAAGTTGAACGATTGGATTGGAATAAATTGAAAAGTGCTCCAAAGTCTGAAACCAGTAAAAGGTTTTCTTGAATATGTTTTGCGTTTAAAACATTGGGGGTGCTGTTAAGTTCACGAGAATATTCCAGCTTAAAATGCATAAAAAAATAATAATAATAAAAATATGTCTCCAATTATATCCTCCAAACAAGAATCTCATCATAGATTAAAGTAAAATATACAATAGCGTCAATAATGCGCTTAGAAATGTGAGACCCTAATTACAAAGAAAACGACAATAACAATGTGATATTCACTAACTATTAGCCAATCTTCAATAAGACAAGATCAGTTTAAAGATTAATACTTCTTCTTATTCTAAATATAACACACTGTAAAATATAATAATGTTTGGTACAAAATGTAAACTATCTTATACTCTTCTTAATATAAAAGCTAATTAGACATTCAATTTGGTCATAAATATAAGACCACAGTCTATTTTGTCTCTTATATTTATTCATTCTCTCAAAAAGAGTTATTGTAGTAATTGCACATATTAAATGTTTCATCAAACGATAGTTCCAATGAATACACATGATTAACAAAATATTTTAGAGAAAAAACGCATATTTATTACACATAACTAACTTAACTAATTTTTTAAACTTAATCCTTACTTTGTTTAACGTGGACTACTTAATTTATTTGGAAAACTTAAATCTATGAGGAGGTCTACATTCTAATTGATTAATTTTCAAGAAATTTCCCTTGTAGCGGACCAATGTTCAAAGCCTCGCTAAGAGAGATAACCTTATTTAATACCTAACAATACTAAGCAATAAGATTGTTTTTGATAGAAAAATACCTATGTCCAGTAAAAAAAAATTGAAGAAATTTTAATTTTAATTTCCAAAATATGATTGGTTATTTTTTAAAATTGGTGTCACTTCAATGTCGATAACAATAACGATTCGAAAATTAATGTAATAAAGAGAGATGTTTTTTTTTTTTGACCGAATAATAAAGAGAGATGTTTGAAAGAAATTAATACAATTTTAGACATTTAATGTACTCTACTAATCTTATTTATAAGTCATTTTTAAAATATTTATTATAATCAAGGAAGACCTCAAACGTTATTAACTCCATCTTAAAATTTGATAACTTTTTAACTTTATTGAATATATACACTTTTTGAAAAAAATAATAATTTATACAATAATAAATGAAAGATAAAATTATATGTTTATATAAAAATTTAATAATATATAACTTATGAATATGATTAAAAAAACTTCTCTCTTTGACTTATATATAAAACAATAAGAGAAGCCAGTAATGGTTAATTTAGAAACAAACTAGGTTTTCAAAAAGAATTAAGGACAAATAACTTTTTAATTATTATACATTACACCCACAAAAATGTGGAGGAGCTTTGTTATCAGCTTTAGGCAGGTGTGCTTGGTTTATGTCATTATTGTTACTGAAGCTTTTCACATGCAAAGCAAAGCTTTGTTTCCCAAATAGCATCTTAATTAGAAAAAAAAAAAAAGAGATATATGTAATTAATTAAAAAAAGAATACATTTAAAATTGTCAATCAGTACATAATTTAATGGGAACTAACTAGTTTAAATTTTGTATGCGAGGTCATTAACTCATTACTGTTGATGTAAATTAATAAGACTTCAACATATTAATATATAAAAACATGATTGTACATGTTTCTAATTAAACACGCAATACTTAAATTTTATCTTTTTTTAGAAGCATATTTAAATTTAAATTTAATCTAGTAGTATTGAATATTAAATATTTGTACTATAAAAGAAATGATATGAAATCCAGTTTAGGAATCAAATCCTATCCACTTCCGTAATAATTAAGTATTAAGGACTACTTTTTATCAAGTATATAGAATTAAACAAATGCCCAATGATAACACCAAATCAGTACTATAGATTATGTTTGATATATAATTAAATAGTTCCATGCTTTCTTCAGTTGTTTATTCCTCAATCCTACCCTGGGCACTCAATGAGATCATCGGAAACATCTGGAAAGAAATATATATTTAAAAAAAGTATAATTAGAAAGGAAAAGAGAGGTGCATTGTATCATGTGTGGCAAAAAGGTCTTTTCATTAAAAAAGTTGATTTAAAAATGGCTTTAATTCAAAAATTAAGAATAAAATAAAGAGGGGAGGTTGGCGATCCCGATGCCCTGAAATTTTGGCGCCAAAAGCAAACTCGATATTAATTCTCTTCCCTCCCTCATCCATCTGATGAGCTGGCCGACGGGCGGTGGCACCCTTCTTCTCGGCTCCAACCATTGTGACCCTTTCTCATTTATTTCTCTTGAATTCTGCAACTGTACTGAGTTTTATTGGCCAACAGAATTTTTAAATTAAAGATCAGTATTTTAGTTTAATCATATTTTTCTTTTTTTGACCAGCATAAATCATATTTTTCTTGAAAAGTACCATTTTCATCTTTAATATGAATTATTTGTAACACCTTCTCATATGTTAAAAAATATATTTGATTGACAAAATTTTGTAACTTTATCTTTATTAAAATTTTCTCTATATTTACAAATCATTTTTATATTTCTTTATTTTTACTCTCTCTTCATTAAAAATTAAATAAAATTAAAATTAAAAAATAAGTATTAAATATATTACTAATGACTTGCCGTTAGGATTTGGGACCAAAACTCTCCCATACAAGTGATATATATTTAGGATTACTACTGTGATCCTATTTATAAAACAGAAAGAGAATATATTTTTTCTATTTATAGGATAACGAAAGAAATTTTTTATATGAATATACAACCCTTTATTTATTATTGTGTTTATATTGTATATTAAATAGGAATAAAGTTAGAAAGTTATTGAATTTTAAATGAGAGTTAATAAAGTTTAGGATTTTTTTTAATCTATGTAAAACACGTTAAAAGTGACTTATAAATAGAACCAAAAGGGTAAGTTATTTGTAGAGAAAGGTTTTGACCTTAAATGTAAGTCATTTATAATTGCCCGAAAAAGAAAGTTACTTATAGTATATCTAATGCTTTTTTTTTTTGTATTGGGAAGAGAAAAGTAAAGAGAAAATATGAGAATGATTTAGAAACAAAGATAAAATTGAAAAAATTTTGTTAATTTAATGTATTCATTAATATATGAGAATATGTTACAAATGATTTATATTAATTTTTTGGTAATTATATTCATTCATTTATTGAGACTTTATAACAATTCTCTCTAATTTTTAAGCAATTTGAATATGCGTTTGAAGTTTCAAACTACTAAAAAATGATGAAAAACTGAGAGAAAGTATATTTCCATGAATTACTTTTTGCGAATTTAATTAATTTTTCATAAGACACAAAAGTAATTTTCTTGGCAAATAATCTAACTTATTCCCTCAATTTTTCATGCATGTTGCGTTATGGAAAAAATCATGCTTTAACATATATAAAGTATTTTGTGGATTTCTAAAAGGAATTAATACCTATAAAAGTATGTTAAAAAAATTTTTGATACAAAAAAAATGTTAAAATTACTTACGTCTCTTAGTATAGTTTATTTTTCATGCATTCAAAGAACGAGAAAGTTGGAAAAAAAAAAAACTTAAAATCTTGAATGCCTTACTCAAGCAAAAATGTCTTATACTACTTTTAATCCTAATTATAAGACTTTGTTTATAGTTTATAAATAGAATCTTATAAATAAAACTGGAGGTAGTAGCTACTAATAATAAGATCGCGCATATTTGATAGATAATTAAGTCTCTCGACCATCTTATTAGGAAATTTGATCATTGACCATGTATATGAAAAAATTATCATTTAAAAAGAAGTAAACTGCTTTTGTGATTTCTATATCTTGAAAGATTAATTCTTAGCCAGTGGTTAAAGAGGAAGGGTTTTAGCCTTCGTCTCAGATTCAAAGTAATTTGAAGGACCTAAATCACACCAAAAAATTAAAAAAATTATATTTAAAATGGAGGGATTAGAAAAATTGAAATGAAAAATGATTATAAGGTTTTAAAAAATTATAATTACTAAAAAAATCTCGCAACAAGTTAGTAACTTGTAATTATAAATTTAACTACAAAAAATAATAATATATTTATATTGCTTATTTGTTATGAAAATTTTTTAGCAACCCATAATTATTTTCTGCTTGATAAATTCTTTTTTTGGTACGGATTAATAAATTCTTTTTATTGAAAAAGGACTTGTAATGATGTTCCCTGACGTCACGAGTTTCCTCGGGTTCTCTCTCGCTCTCATCTCTCATTGGTTGAAAACATACACCAATTTCAACGTCACTCTTTTCCACTTGTTCATTTATAAGCATCACCGTCTTCCCCATCTTCCTCTTCCCTCCTTATTCTCTCTCTCTCTTTCCTTCTGTGTCCCCTTTCCTTCAACAATCTTCCTTCAAACTCTTCTATTGAGCCAACCCCGATCTTCCCTTCCCTCTCTTATTCTCTCTTCGCTTTTCACTTTCTCTCTTCCTTTCTCCTTTTCCCCACCCTCCTCACACCAGTCAACTCTTTCTTCTCACTTTCATCAACGCTTTTCCTTTTATTTATTCCCCACCCCGCCATCCTTGTTGTTCACCGCTCTCTGCAACATTATTCTTCGCCATGGGATTCTCCGAGAAGCCGCAGCTCGACGGAGGAGCTTTTGATTCTGATAATAGAAAATGGGTCATCGCCGGAATCGCCCTGCGAGCGCCGTTGAAGCCGATATATACCATACCCGCCGCAGTCGTAGACAAACCGCCGCCTCAAGATGACAACACCGGCGACGGCGTTGAAACAGACGAGTGTTGCACGACTCCGACGAGCGAAGAAACCAGAATCCCCACCACCTTCACCTGCCCACCAGCTCCGAGGAAGCGAAAAACTTCTTCCAAGTTCAATTTCAGCCGCGGGGCCCGGCAGTTCTTCAACCCGCCGGATTTAGAAACTGTGTTCATACGCCGTGTTGAGAAGGCTAATTGATTCATTTATCGTCTGTACTTTGTCATATGTACGTTATTGTTAGTTTTAAGTTTAAACCGCAATCTTCTCCGTTTGGTAGGACTACTTTGTACAGAAGCAATCTAATCTAGATAAATAAGAAAGGAAAAAACGACATCGTGTTAATGGATTACTATATATCTTTCGTTGCGTTGCGTAATGGCAGATTCATTTCTTATTTCTTGTTCTGAATCAGCTCATGTTTGTGCTTAGCTTGAAATGGTAACGAAGACATATATGTATCGTTGTCGTGGCAGAGACTTTATTTGATTCCGGTTGGGTTATGGGGAGGTGGTTTTTTGTAGTGTACTGAGAAGTTTCTTTGTTGTGATGTGGGAAAGTGGCACTGTTCATGACCACGCGAAGAAGGGGAAGATGAGAGAGGAAATTCTTGTTGTTCCATAGTCAAAAATTTCTGAGGTAAGCTGAATACTTACAAAGACAAGTAGGGAGGGTCGTTTTCAATATACTCCGGTACTAGAAAAAAAAGAAAAAGACATTTTATTAGTAGTAGAATAGAAATTTTGTGTATTTGATATATAATTTTATTTTTTATTTATTATTGTATTGATTTTGTTTATGTGAGATATACTGATATGGTATATATTAAATAAAAATAAAATTATTAAATTTTAAATTTAAATAAAAATTAATAAAAATTAATTTTTTTTTTAATTTTAACATAATAGCAACGTGGGAGTATAAATGGAAGACGAGGGTTGGCAGATGGTGCACGGCTTCCTTCACATTGTAATTTGAATTGACTCCCACTTTAAGTGCCTCTTATTGGCTTTGCATTGCTCCAGATCCTTCTTACTTCAATGCATCATTGGCTAGCTGTCATATCTTTCATTTCAGGCCTTTGAAGCGATTAATTTGGGGTCGTAATATATGTCACAGTGATTTATGTGAAAGTACTGAAAACTAGACCCATTTTTGGCAATAGATTAAGGATGTGGCTGGATCATTAATTGAATTGAAATTGATCTTGTAATATGATTCAATTAAAATAAATACAAATATTTATATACTCCCTCCGTTCCTTATTATAAGAGACAAATAACCGAAGTACGTTGATAAAAAAAACAGTTAAAATTAGTTGAGAACAATTAATGTGTAAAAAATATATTTTTTTTTCCAAAGATACACTCATTAATAAGGAGAGAGAGCATGAGAGAGAACAATTAAATTATTAAAAGAAAGAGAAGTGGGAGGGAGAGAGAGTGTGAGTTGGAGATAATAAATATGGGTAAAATAGTAAATCAACACAAAAAAGTAAAGACAACTTGTAAGTGTCTCTTATATATAGGAACATGTCATAAGCATCAAATGTCTCTTATAATAAGGAACGGAGGGAGTATAACTTTAAAAAAAGTGATATTTAAATCAAAAGACAAATTCATATGTAAATGAAACTTTCATGTATAAAACACACATATAATAATTTAATAAAAACATAGACAATGTCATTCCAAGTTCAATAAAAAAGAAGAAAAATATAAAATCTAACCTAATTGATCTATTCGAAAATTCTGACAGGATTGATTAGGGGACTAGTTCATCGTTAGCTTTACAGGCTAATTCAAGTTTAATACCATACTAATTAAGAAGTGATGCGTATTAAAGATCAAGTGAATAAGAACTAGTCTTAGGCCAAACAAATCTGGATTGTCTAAACCGAGGCCAGACGCAATGGTTCAAGATATTGGATTTTGTTTCAAGGCTTTAGGTTAATTATGAGTTCATTGGCTTATTCAAGTCCGTGCATATATATATACACACACATATACATGTATATATCCTACTTCCGGTCCTAATTACAAGAGCTATTTAACTAATTTGAGAAAATTAAAAAAATAAATTAAGTTAGTTATTTGTCATAAATAGACGTTGTCTTTCTTAAAATATCCTTACTAATCAAGTATATTGGTTAGAATTATCATTACTAGAATGATTACTTTGAAAAAAATACATAAATGTGAAAGACAAAGTATATTGAGGTTTTATATTTAGGACCAAAATAAAAATTAAACGAGGTCTTATATTAAGCAGCGGAAGTAGTATAAAGTGAAGCAAAATTTGGAGACATTATCTGAAACCAACCTTCCTAATGTTCACCCAAATTAAAATGAAAAAAAATCTTAATAATAGAGTTTAGAAGCAAATTAAGAGAGGGAAAGTTCAGCGTAATGGAGATGTGGAAAAGCGACAGAGCACATGTGGAGGGGTAGGATTAGAATCCTATGCCAAGTTGGGTGGCCCTGGTTTTGCACTTCTAAAGTTTAGCTTTGAAGGCCAATTATTGGCACATTCAAAACTTTATCTTATTCATAAATTCTTTCCTCCAGTACATCCTTCTCCTTTTTTCCTCCAATTATTAACTATTTTTATAAATCACCTTTTTTTAAAAAAAAAAAATCTCCAACAACCCTTTCCTACTTACATAGTTTAGAGCAAAGTCCGCTAATTCTTTCAAGTCCTCGTTTGGTATATTTAACGCAACATTCCTCTCAGTTTGTTTATTTTTTAATGAATTTATCTTTGTGCCCACCAGCGCAAAGAATGATGGGTATTCAGGTAACTAATTTGATGCCAGTAGTTGAATAATTTGATTTTAAAAAATCCATCATCAAGATTAGTTTATTTCATTAATATATATATATATATATTTTTATATATGTAGTACAATGCGCGAGAATCTTTTATAGTATATTGAATGTTAAAGGAGTTAGACATTTTTGAAACATAAAAAGATGAAATTATTAAACAAACTTAAGGGTACGAAAATTAATATAGCTTTTAAGAATGTTCTTTTATGATCATATCTTATCTTGGTATAATCTTGTTTTGAAAAATTATAAACTAATTAATCATAAAAATGACAAGAAAAACTGTGTACTTAAGCTATATGCTTAATACACCTTTTTTCCAAATCGTATTGAAATAGGTCACTTTCTTCACCTTTTACTTATATATCTTTTATATATATTAGTTTGGTTGTTAATGCTTTTGATTTTGTTTAATTTAAAATTCAATAATTTTGATTTGATTGAAAATAAATAAATATAAATCAATAAATTTTCTTGCGTAATAAAAATGATATGAGAATAAAAATCTTAATAACTTTAATTTTTCTAGTATTTTGCATATCACCATCTCAATATTTGGATGCATTATCTATAGCCAATTTAAAAATGTAAAAGTCATAGATCGACAGCAATATCTTCCTCTCTCGCATGAATAAAATACAGGGAATGTCAGCAAAACCCTGATTAGTTTACAAGTGGGGGAATGAATGAAAGAAAGAAAGAGTGGCACGCAAAATATTCACCTTATCTATTGAGATACTTCGCCCCGTTTAGAATACTCCCGTCATCTTAAATATGAGACTATTATACTAGTGTGTATAAGGGTCTCATATTTAGAACTGGAGGAGTAGTTTATAAGTAGTTTTTTCAGTATAATTTATAAAATATGAGATAAGTGTGTAATATGAGTTTTCTCTCAACTTATATAAAATATGCTTATAAATACTAACCTAAACAGGCCTTTCATATCAAATATATGTTTATGAATTTTGATTTGATTTGATTTTTTTTAAAAAAATTATATTTAGGATTAGAAGGAGAAATAAGAATGAATATGGTTTATGGGGATTCGAGTTTGCGGTGGCAGCAATATTTGCATCAAAACACAAATCTTTTAAATTAAGAGTAGAGAAGGGGCAGATTGTAGTTGGCTTGTAGTGGGGTCGTAGTAGTGGATTAATTAGATCCCTTCATTTAATATATTTTTGGCCAACCAATTACTTTAATCACCCTCATTATTGCACACCACATGATTCCGATCATTTATATCCACAAAATATATGTAAGGGATACGTACTTGAATAGGTGTGTAATTAATTAATTATAAGATAACAAGTTTCATGTACACTACTCATATACGCGTACACTATATGAATAAATACATCAATATAGGCAGGATATGATAGAGATGAGCTGATTGGTACTCCTAGCCCATATTTAGTATTAACCCACATATGATAACATAATAGAAAACAAACTATTTGTAATCTTAATTTATGAGGTTTGATTTTTTTTTTTTCTTTCTTCTTTTTCCAACGATTCATTCAAGTCGTGAAGGTATATATGGAACTTATTCAATAGATCTACAATTCAAATATCATATCTTTCTAATTGATAACTTATAAGAAATTTTTTTTTCGGTTTCAAAATCTACGTACATTGAAATTTCTAAAATCCAACTCGCATGCAATTCTTACAACAACAAAAAATATTGATTATTCATGAGCTAGTATGAATGCTATTAATTAACTTGGATCTTATATTATCCTACCTCACTTTTATCAACTGACTTAGTCTAAAATAATAACAATGTACTTCTTCGATTCTTAATATAAGGCTTATTTAACTAATTTAATTAAATTAAAAAAAGTTAGTAAGTTAGTTAATTATAAAAAATATGGCATGTTTTTCCTAAAATATCATAATAATCTTTTTTAATGTCCTCTTTCCCTCACTTACTTGATCATGGTTGAGGGAGTATCTATAGGGGTAATTTAGAAAAAAATTGATAAATATGAGAAATGGGTCTTATATTTAGTACTAAAATTAATTTAACAATTAGATCTTGTATTAAGGATAAGAGGAGTATAATTAGATTATATGACTTACAACCCATACTGTTTTATTTAATCAAGTGATGTATTTTAATTTAAGTAATGTGATTAGCCTCAATCTAGGTCAATTAACAAAAGTGAGGTAGAAGAATAATATGGGCCGAAATCAAACATTCAAACTATTATGTGAACTGCAACACAAAAGTCAAGATTGAATCATATATATACAAAAGAAGAGACTAGTTAACATATATGTAGCTCGTTGTAGAAATCAACTAAAAGTATCCAAATTATGTTATCTTTGATGAGCAAGTTCATCACTAATTCACTGCAACTTATTTTTTAAAAAAAAAAAATTAGAGGCACAAACATTAACAGTTTGAAATTATAACCGGGATTGAATTTAGGACTCACTACTACAAAATGAAAAATACTCGACGGTTATTTTAGATCATATTTGACGGTTAAAAACCGTCAACTATACTGGCGTCATATATTTCAACAGCAAATATTTGACGGTTATTAACCGTCAAATATTTAAATCATACTTGACGGTTACTAGAAAAAAACCGCCAATTATTTTGAGATTATATTTGACGGTTCCAAAAACCATCAAGTATTCTGTAATACTTGATGGTCACTTTTGGAACCGTCAAGTATTACGAAACATACTTGATAGTTATTTTTGAAAAACTGTCAAGTATTATTTAATACTTGACGGTTTTAAAAGTAACCGTCAAGTATGTTAGAATACTTGACGGTTTTAACTAATAACCGTCAAGTATTATTGGTTTTTTTTAAAAAAAAATTCGTTCTCCTTTGCCAGCAACCCCCTGCAATTTTGAAACCGATAACAAAGGCTCATTCAACAGAATCATGCAAGCCAGCATTCAAACCAATTCAGCCATATACATATATCTTAATGAACCGAAAATAATTTACATTATCATATGTATACATGAACCAATGAAAACCAACTGTGATATATTAAAATTCTGGCAAGTACAAAAGGTGAACCAATTCCAAAATTAGCCAATTGTCAAAGTTGTGCAATGCCTAAAACTAACCAACAGCAAAAAATGAACCAAAACCAAAATTATATTGCAACCAAAGCTAGCTGTACGTACATACACTGTCTTAATGTACACTTTCCTATCTATGTTGTGCCCACTGACAGAATAAGGCCATCGCCAACTCCTCAACGATTTCTTCCATCTGAGCAGATGAATACACTGTGCAATATGTGTCGGCAAAGTACTGTATGCAACCACAAATTATGACTTAAGTTAGATAGAAATGTAAAGCTACAGTAAGTACAATAATTCTTAAATATATAAATTGAACCTTAACAAATGCATATTACCTGCGTGGGAATTGTGTTAGCATTGTGCAGAATTATCTCCTTCATAAATTTCATCACGCAATATCCATAATGGGAGCTCTTGTTGGGCTGACGTGGGCACTGTAAAGAATGGAAAAGGAAATAATATTAGTCAATCATATAAATAAACCATATTTAGTAGAATAGTAAATAATGGTAGTGAATACCTTCACTTTCTTCCACGGGAAGGTATCGTCAAATTGGCCGTTTTTTACCGGGGGGCAGGGTAAGGCCTGATTTGTGCGGTATAACCACAAAACCCTGAGAAGACAATAAAATTGAATATATTCTTACTTGTAAGAAAGTCATCATAACTGTAGTGAATTGCGATTATATTCTTCCTCTTGCAAATCAATTGTGCTGTCAATTTAGAGAGAGAGAAGAAATTGGACCGACCAGCTATAGGGAGAATCCAAATTGCATGTATATAATATGATAATATGCATTCGTTTAAGCATTACTTTACTTATGCCAAAAAAAAGGCATTACCTTACAAGGTAGGACGATGAATCAATCATATTAATGTTTTTTTTAAAACGATTCTTATTGTTTTCATCAATATTTTTATTATTTTCATTGTAAGGATATATATAATACTGAATCTATCTGCTCATACATATATACTCTTCTGGTGCTAAATATAAGACTCATTTTATAATAAGTCTTATATTTAGGACTGAATGAGTACATAATCCTGTGTATATTGATTAGTTCATGCTAATCAAGAATTAGCGGTATCATTCAGTATATATTATCCTAATGGACACAACCCTTTCAAATAAAAATGGTCGATTCTAAAACTAAGCCATAATAATAAATTAATATATATACTCGCGTCCTTCATGGAGAGAACAGAGTTAAAGTTAATATATCAATTAATATGCTTATTCTGCCTGTGGAGATTGTTTGGATATTGTTTTTAATTTCCCCCACTTTTACATAAACAAAACTGTTCATAGTTAAACAATTTGTTTGTATATATTCAGAGAATTTCACATCAAATTAAAGCGGATTTAACTCAAAATTAAATTGACCCATAAACTTTGATTGCGCCCACCTGTAACGTTATTGCACCAAACAAAAGCAAAAGTTGAAAGAGACCATTGTGCCAAAATATTGACTATTTGTCTCCTCATGTAAAATATATATATATATATATATATATAAATGTATATAAAGGCAGTAATAATGGAACAAGAGAAGGAAAAAGCCAGATGAATATTACTAGGCTAGCTACGACTAGCTTGTTTGAGCATATTGCTATCACGGATGGATTCAAAAGACACTATTAGTGGAAAGTTGAGAATCAAATCATAACATGGATGAACATCACGTAAATGCGTTATACATAGCCATATTTATAATAAGTGCTCCACTAAATGCATCAGGTTTCTTTTTTCCCTCTTTTCTATGGGTTAATCAAACTGCTCCGTCATTAATTAGACGCATGTGGAGATGCCCGATTCATCTTAGGGTAGATATAATTTTTTAATCCAATTATACTCACCAGTATTAAGTTAGACTCAAATATTGTCATAATTTAGTTTTAGTTATACTAATATATGTAGTTTTTTCAATGCCCTAGCTAGGTGTCATTTATAATAGCACCACATGATCTTACCAAACGTAACATTTTATGTGTTTGTGTGTGATTCTTTTTCCTGGGGGGTGTTTGTTGTGTGCCTGATTTAGGAGGTGTTTAGATGAAAACCAAACTATGGTTTCAAAAATGTTTTTACAGTTTACGAAGTAAATATATAGAGGAGTTTGCCTCGTTTTACGGAAAAATATTTTTAAAAAGTGTTTTCGACAATAGCCAAACACCCCTTTAGTCACAATTCACAACTTGAATCTTTTATTCCTTTACTTATTTAAAAGAATTCAAATTCTTCTCACTCATCCTTGGGAGTACTCAACAGCAACAGCAACATCAACAAGCATTATTATTATACTAAGTGAAGTAGGCTATATAAATTACATAATGTCATTATGCTGTATCTATAATAAATTGCTAACTAAAACGTCTCTTTAATAATTTTATTAAGCGTTATCTTCAATTTTTTTTCCCTATCTCTATCACTTTCTAGAAGACTCCATATCATCTTATTTTTCCTATTCACTAGTGCCTTCAACAACTTTTTTTAATACATATTTAAATCATCTCAAATGATTTTCTATTATTTTCTCTTTAATAAATGCTAAGCAGACTCTTCCTTATACATACTCATTCTGATTATTATATTTCCTCATGAACACACATCTACTATTATCCCCATTTTCTTTTTTCCCCTTTGAACCCTAACATTCAGCATCGTTTGTAGCAATGCTAAGACGACAAAATTTGTCATAGTCATAAATTTTGCTTCCATAGCTCTAATATGTATAATGTTTGTGAAATTCATCTTGTAACTGTTAGAACAACCCAAAGAGGATTCTATGATGGGATAAAGTGGTTATTTAGAAGACGGCTTGCAAGCAATGTTCGATGATGTGATCAAAGTAAAATAATGTCCTTGAATTCAGGTGGCGTATAATAATTTTCAAACATAGTCTCAGATTTGCTTTATAATGTCAAAGCTAAAAATCATAGACTACAAAGGGGGGAGAAAAAAGGAAGAGGGTGCCAAACTTTTTGTAGGCATATTAAGTCAATTGTGATAACAACTTTTTTTTTTTTTCTTTTGAGGGGTCAAATTATGATAAGAGGATTACTAATAAAGCCATTGTGGGGCCATCAGACTAAAGGGGCCTAATGGGCCAGCCCAAAGTGTGGCCAGGTTGGGCTGAAAAGGACACCGACTTGAAATTGTTGGAGTGAATGGGCCCACCAAAAGAGATCGGCCTACATCATTAATAGGTCCACTAGGAATTGACATCTTTTGCTTGGAAAAAAATTGTCTTCTTTTTTTTTTACCAGCAAATTTTTCTGTTGAGGATAAGATTGTCCTTTTGATATGCTTTCTGTCTTTTCAAATCTTTTCAAAGCATAAATAGATCACAATACATTTAATTTTTTAGAATATAAATATAAACTAAATTTGGTTCAGAAATAAAAATATTTTCGTATAATATTTATAAACTGAAAAATATTACAAAAATAATTTTCATATGCAATTTTTTCTTTGCATATTTTATACATGTATGCATGTGTTTTCATGCATTTTATGAAGTTTCAAGCTAAAATGGGCGATCAAGGCCAAAGAAAATAAATAAATGGGGATTATCAATTTATTATGATATCCCAAAAAAAATTACTAAAAAAAGCTAATAACAATTAAATAGTATAAATTTTGTTGTTATTTATATTGTAATTTATCATCAGACTTTTTTAGTAGTTAATAATACATCCTTAGAATTATACAGTGATTCTCCCTAAACTCTTCTTTTTTTTATAATGTGAATTTTCGTGACAAAATATAATATAATAATGCATCTTTTTACAAATTTTGTTAGGAAAAACCCCAAAAAAAAAACTTTTTGAATTTTAAAATTTTAAATCAATCTTATTTATTTCACTTTGATAGCAATTGAATACACTTAAAAGCAAATAAGCAAATGACAACAAATTGTTGTGGTAATTCCTAATTTAGGATTTTAAAATTTAAGAGGTAATTTTTGTGAATTTTTCCATTTTGCTACTCACATATATCTATGTTATATTATTTACTATTTACACACAGTTTTTATTATAAAAATGGAGAGAAAATAGTAGTATTCATCACAAGTTGCATTTTTTTCATAGAATCTGTTTTCCATTTTGCAATTAGATTCGTAATGTAAACTTGCAAAATTTTATATTTAATAGTAAATAATATGATATATGTATAATTATATAAATAAAATATACAAAAAATTTATGAAATTGTATTGATTCATATATTATCAAAAATTTATAACTGAATACTATTCTACCAATCATTGAAGAAGTTACATATGTGTCTGAGTTATTGATAGAAAAGGAATTAGTTTCATGCAACAATAATTAAGAAACTACTACAAACGAATTATTTACTCGAAATTTTATAATGGATATAATTTTTAGATATAAGCCAAGTGACAAGTATTTTTTTTAACCTTTTGGATCAACGTTAGGTATTTTTTTGGCATTTTAAATTTATTAGGGGATGATAAGTACTCACAAATGAAAAAAAGCAGTAAACTAATAAAAAATTATACAATTTTCAGAAATTTCAATTATGCTGCCTCCTGTTTTAAATATAAAATGTAATTTGTAATGCAAAACTAATTCTTATATTTAGGATTGGAGGTGGTATTTAAACTTACAATTTCAATACCAAACTATTCTTCCCATCCTGAATATAGATGTTAATTAGGTAGTTAATTTTAGTTCTAAATATAATATCTTAATATATTTTATCTCTTATATTTATTTTTAAACTAGTTTATTTAATTTATAAATTAATATATAATCTAATGTTAGATAGTGATATTTTAGGGAGATCATATAATATTTATTAGAATTAAATAGTTTATTTAGCGTTTTTTCAATATATCTTATTCAATTACCTCTTTCGTTAAAAACTAAAGAAGCATAATTCTAATTCTGGTTAAAGTGTGTTTACGAAGCTTCAGGGTTATTAAATTTTTAACAGAAATTATTACTTCGGCTCTTGATTAGTTCTTCAATGCAACTCACTTTAAAATGATTGCAAGCATACACGGAAGATTTTTAATATTTTAAAATCTGTTTTTAACCCATAACTAAATTTACTAAATAAATATGTGAGTATTTAATTTAGTTAATAAAGCGAACAAGTTTTTATATGAAAAATTATGTGGGTATCCAAAAGTTTTGTGATTAACGTCTTTATTCCCCTCTAATCGAATCCTAACAAAATATATCTCAATAAATTAGAAATAAAAATATATATAATGATGTATCATCATAAATGTAATCATTTAATTTTGCATTTAAAACATGATATAGAGCAGTAGACACCCATCCATGCATATAGCATGGGAGAAAAGATTCTAGTTTAGATCATATTGCTACAAAATGTACATAATACTCTTCCGATTCTTAATATAGGACCTATTTAACTAATTTGATTATATTAAGAAAGTTAGGTAAGTTAGTTAATTATAAGAAATATGACATATTTTTTTAAAAACCCCATAATCATATTTCTTAATATCTTCCCTCCCTCTTTCACTTGATTATGGTTGAAGGATTATCCATATGGGTAATTTAAGAAAAATTGATAAATATGATAAATATGTTTTATATTTAAGACTAAAATCAATTCAACAATTAGGTTCTATATGAAGGACCGGAAGAGTATTACCTTGTCTACAATATAAGAATTAGTAAAAAAAAATTAAATAATTGACCTGAGAATATTAATAAAATTAATTATTTATTTTTTTGTTAAAAAAATTAATTAGTTATCTGTAATAAATGTGTTTTATTTTTAATTTCTAAACTACTCTCTTTAATAATGTGTATTCGGGTTACACCTTGATTGAGAGCTCTTTTAATATGTACAATTAATAAATATACTTCGAGCAAAAAATTATAAAATTAAAAGGCAAAATAAATTAAAATCTTATAAAATGAATTCTTTTTCTGGTTTCCATATTTAGAAGCAGAGATAGTATTTGGTAAATGACTGTTGGCTCCAATTTTTATGCAAATGAACTAGACTATCTAGATAGAAAAGTTAGTTAATTATTTAATATTATTAAAAGTAACAAATATATATATATATATATATATATAAATGCAACCAATTGCTTAAAAAACATCCATATTCAAGAAAAAAGAGTAGTTGGCAGATAAAATGAATAAAAAAGAGATGATAAAGATGGGTAATTAACTTGGGGGAAAAAATATCAACAAACTCTTAGTTGATATGGCAAGTAGTTTCACCATCTTAAGAAAATAATACAAATTTAAGTATCAAAAATTATATTTATTGAGAGAATTTTAACTTTAAATACTTCTGACTTGATAAGAATTAGTTTCAAATTTAAAATAATTTGATATACCTTAAATTATTAAAAAATTGAGGAAAAAATAAACTAAATATTTCGTTATTGAACACACTCATCAAAAAAATCGTAGCTTATAAGCCATGTATTGAAACCCGGACCAAACCGGTAGGTTCAGACTGGAAATCAATGAACCGGCCTAGTAACCGGTTCAGTTGAGCATTTAAACCGTAAGAGAACTGACTTAGTGTGATCTAGATCAACCAGCGCAAACCTGTAATAACCTAGGTAACTAGCCCGGTTTGGTGGGTTAACCTGTTTGCCTTGTTTTTTTAAAAAATTATTTTGATTATTTTTCTTAAAAGCTGTTGATAATTAAAACTTAGTGATTGAATAACTATAAAAAGAAATATTTTGTTATCATAGATCTATTTTGATATTTTATTAGGATGAATATTTAGTGATTTTAGTAGTATGATATTATAAGAAATTATAAGTATATGATTATTTTATTGAATGATTCAAGATATTAAATTGATATCTAGTTCTTAGTAAAAATTTTAATTATTTTTTATTGTTTTTATATTTCTCATCAGTTTGACCTCGATTTGACTCCAATCTATCCTATTAACTCTTAATTTATTGTCTTGACTAGTTTAATTGCTGGCCTGACCTGATTTTCAATACCTTGTTTATAAGAGGATAGCATAGGGTGACACTTTTTTTTTAATCCAGTCAATTGCGGTTAACTTTTTCTAAAACTTCAAACTATTTATTGATTTTTTTTCTTCTTTTTTGAAAAAAGACTCCAAATTCTTAAATTCCAACTCCGAATCAGATTCTTGCAAATATGCAGATATTAATTGAACACAAATGACAAATTTCCAGCCACCATCCCCACGTCACCGTGAGGCAATCTATATGTGAAACGTAGAGCAAGTAGAACCGCTGAGTGTGAGACTCGAGAGGATCCAAATTACCACCTTCATCTCTGGTTTACTCCGCTGCTACCTACCGCTTCCATTCCATCAACGAAGATGAAGCAGAGAACGCGTCCTTCCATTAAAGACAGTTCCGTCAGAACTCCTCTCAAAGCATCAGCTTCTTCTGCTCGCTCCATTCCCTTCTGCTCGCCGGCGATGGCATCGGAACCCGCGACTTCGTCATCATATGTAGCTGATTTCTCTGCTCTTCCCTACGACATTTTAGCCAAAATTGCAGCCTCCTTTAACCTCCCGAACCTTCAAGCGGCGTCGTTGGTATGTAGGTCTTGGTCGGAGGCGCTTAGGCCGCTGAGGGAGGCGATTTTGCTGTTGAAGCGGGGAAAGCGATTCAAGCATGGCCGGGGAGGTGTTAGTCCTAATACAGGGAAGGCATTGGATTCTTTTATGAGAGCTGTTGCTCGCGGCTCCACATTAGCGATGGTTGATGCGGGGCTGATTTATTGGGAGATGGGCGAGAGATCGAAGGCGATTGCTCTGTATCAGAAAGCTGCGGAACTTGGAGAACCGGCTGGGCAGTGCAATTTGGGAATTTCCTATTTGCAAGGTATTTTCAGAATTTCAGTTTGAGCCATCTAGTTTTGCCAGAAAGAACGAAAATTTTGCGCTATGTAGTTATTGTTTTCGTTAGTGGACTGGTGGCTGTGGCTTTGATTTTTTTTCTTTTCCTTTCCAACATCTGTTCTTTTAACCATCTTTTTCTCTTTTCGAAGACTAGTGCGTAGCAGTCCCTGTCTAATTTCCACTCGCATTCACTTAGTGCGTAACTATATCATTGGCACATTTAAATTTACTATTAGCTGTGTCAAAAAGTGCATTATAAACTAACTTCTAAAACTATCTGTGCTCTTCCATCCGCATATACAATTGCCCCTTTCAATTATAATCAGTGGTTGATTGAGGATTAACAGGAAAGTAATCAACAAAGTCAAGCATATCACAGTATATCTTAAGTTCTCGACCACAGTTTATAAAGGTATATTATATCTGCATTCTGCATATGTAAATCTTTAATGAACGCTTCGCTCATACAAGCCTAAATGACTGAAGTTTTTATGACGATAGAAACTGGGTCATAAGGATATACTGTTTTTCTGCAGCTGATCCTCCTAATAGCAAGGAGGCTTTAAAATGGTTATATAAAGCTTCGTTTCGGGGTAACGCTCGTGCTCAATACCAACTCGCACTTTGCCTGCATCGAGGTCAAGGGATTGATAGCAATATGAAAGAGGCAGTAGGTTTCTATTCTATCCTCTCATTGTTAATTATGATTGAGCCCTTCTATTTTTGTTTTTCATTATTTTTAACTAGATGGGACCAAAGCGGATAATCCATTCGACCTTATTATAATGCCTGAAATTTGCGTATGCTATTTCCTCTTATATTGACTCTTAAGTTGATGGTTAACCTATGTGATGGTATTAGTGATCTTTGGGTGAGAATTAGATCTTTAATGTCCAAAAATCTAATGATACTGGGCATTTTTAGTTCCTATGCGATTATGATTTGTTCTGAACTTCGCTCATTAACAAGTTGCCCTTGAATAGGCTAAATGGTATCTGAAAGCTGCTGAAGGTGGTTTTGTACGTGCTATGTACAACGTCGGCTTATGCTACTCCTTTGGGGAAGGTCTGAATCATAGTCATAAACTAGCAAGAAAATGGATGAAGCTGGCCGCGGACCATGGTCATAGTAAAGCTCAATTTGAGCATGGACTTGCTCTCTTTTCTGTAAGTGTTATCTATGCTTTCTTATTTGAAACATTCTCTGAAGAATAAATGCAATAAGCAAATTGTCTGTGATCTTCTTTCACATATGGGAAAACATGGCTTAAAAACCATGGGCTACTGACTTAAAATACAAACTCACCGTCCTTTTTAGATTGTAAATGAACAGAGTTTTATTTGAACAATTCTGGTTTGGCTAGCACAAAACTTACTTCCATATCAGTTCATTTATTAAATGAGTGAGCTTGAGTGTAACATTAAGCTTGTTGAATTTAAATTTAGCTTTGGGATATGATTCTCAGCTCATTTACCTTAGGAATGGCTTGTTTAAAATTTTAATTATGCGTACTTGTAGGCATAACTATATGCATACATAATAGTATACATTTTCTTAAGTACCAAATAAAAAAAAAAATCGAAAACAATCCCTTGCAATCAATCTTTTGACTGCATGCTGCAAATAAAATGTTGACAGCTGCGGATCCATTCCGTGAAAATTCTTTTGACTTGTTAAATTCATATGGTGCATGTTCATGAGTGAGATTAAGAGTTAAGCCCGTGCTTGATCTCAAATTGAGTTCGTTAATGATGCATGATTATTTTTACACTTCTAAACCTTCTTAAAAATTGATAAAACTTGCACGACAATCTTACTACTTCTAACATTTGTGCTTGTAGTTGTAATTAACAATGAGCATTTCAGTATCACTTGCCTTAATTTTGGGATTGTTGATTGCCTTTCATATGCGATCTATTTATGTACTATATGGCACTAAATGATGGTCTGCAAGCTATTCATAGGCGTATCGTAACGATGGTTGGTGGCTAAAGGATTCAAATTTTGCATCTAATTATATGGCTGAGAATGTTTCAAGCAGGTTACTTCTTTTCAAATTGGAATATGATTGTTTCTAATGGAGGTAATGCTTCTGTACAGGAGGGAGAGATGATGAAAGCTGTAGTGTACTTGGAACTGGCCACTCGTAGGGGCGAACGAGCTGCTGTCCATGTCAAGAATGTAATTCTTCAGCGGCTTTCTGCAACCTCTCGTGATCATGTCATGCATCTTGCTGATAGATGGCGTGCTTTGCCGTCATTTTGACTGTTGATTCACGCCTTGAACCGTTAGTGAATAGAAAATTGCATATCTTAAATGGTTATGCTACATCTAATGAATGGCCCAGTCAATGAAGATAGCATAAACATGGCCAAGGAAAGCAGGAGCTCACTGGGAAGTTTCCTATGCCATTTCCCCCACAAATATAATTGGTTATCTTGTCAATAGGAAAAGGCAAGCTTACTAGTCAGTATCCTCTTAGACAAGTACAAAAGGCGCCACCTCTTTTTTGCTCTAGGTACTAACATTAATCAAATAGACAAGATCACAGACCTTGACATGGGTAACAGGGCTTTCTTGTCCCCCCTCTTTGATTTTTTCTAAATTGTATTGTTTGGGAGCAGAGTAAAAAAAAAAAAAAACAGACACACACACACACACACACATCAACAGCAAGGCTACAGCACTTTCTTTGAATGAGTACCTCATTCCCTAGTTCAATATTGGAAATCTGATATGTTTGGAAGAAGTGGAGCTAATATTTTTAGGAAGAATGAAAACTACAGGTGAAAGTCAAATTATTTTGGGGACATCATATGGGAGAGTATTTAAACTACATCTCTTAATTAACTCAGTGAAAGTGCAGGTTGAAACCAGCATATATGCCGACAGAATTCGAATTCACATAACGCTCCTAAAAATGCCAGCAGCTAATATTAATACAGCATAAGCAAGATTTTCAAAATTCCTTTTGTTTATTGGCAATAGTGTCATGAGGCATCCATGGCGAATGGTTGACTTATAGTTCATAGCCTGGTGATTTTGCATGGGACATCAAGAGGCCGTTTGGTTGGATTCCATGAGAGAGAATTACATGTAATCCTTATGTCACGCCCTGATTTATATGTTTGGTTGGGCTTATATAATATAAAAAGAATTACATTTTGTAATACTAATTATATCAAGTGAAGTCGTCATTTCTGCTTGGTCATCTCTGTTGCTGCTGTTATCATCTCCATCAGCAACTTTTTTGTTGCTGCTGCTATTATTTCCATTGCTAGACTAATATTTCAGTCATTAACACTGCTATATTTCTTTTACATTGAAGGTCACTTTTTTTTATTTATGAAAATTCCAGTTTTTGGAGGCTTTGTGTTTTTTAGCTTTCATGAAAGTTCTGGTGTATTATTGGCAATCGCAGACACTGCTACATATTACTACTAAACTATAGTTGAATGGTTGATGCATACTTGGTGATATATATATATATATATATATATATATATATATATATATAAGTTGCAAGGGAGAATCTGATAATGGCAAAGCATACATAGATATTATTATATTTGTTTGTGTATTATATACTCTAGGTTTTTTGGCTTGAACTTGTTAATATATATGTGGATAGCGTTATTATATATATTTGGAGAAAAAGTAGACAACTTTAAATCATTATATATATTCATATATGTAAATAAGAGTAATTTTATGAGAAAATTGTAAAAAAAGACCTTGGAATTGCAAAAACGAAGATAGGGATCCTTGACAACTTCATTTTAGGTTTTGATAAGAATAATAGGCCCTGAAGTTGTCAAAACCCAAAGTGAAGTTGTTAAGGGTTCCTATCTACGTTTTTGTAATTCCAAGGTCTTTTTTTGTAATTTCTCCTAATTTTATCTTTTGATACATTATTCTTATCTATTTTAATGTCCTGTATAATCCAACCAAATGTTTTTGGGCCCGTTTTGTTCCATTGCACATGCATTAGGGCTGCACATGAAACCCGGTAAACCCGGTCTCACCCGATCCAATTTTTAAAGCAGTCCAAAAAACCCGGTGAAATTCGGGCCAGATCGGGTCTGACCCGAAGACCGGGTAGGACCGGGTTACGGGTAGGCATGTTGGACTAATAACCCGGTCCTGCCCGATAATTTTTGTGAGATATTAAAAAAAAAAAGCTACATGGGCCCATATTGAAGTCCTTTCTTTTTTTCCTAACAAGTCCATTTCTGTTTTAGTGATTTAGGCCCATGTTGGTTTTTTTTTTCCAGATCCAATCTGATGCCCACTTGCGAGTTGCAACACCACCTAATGCCCAATGCCCCAATCCATCAAAGATTAGAATCAGACCATCACTGATTCACTTTCACTTCATCAGGCATCGAGTTCATCCCCAAATCCCCTCTCCCTCCAAACCTAGCGCTAGCGGCAGCGTCAGCATCTCACATTCTCATTTCTCACTGATTAGCGAAGACAGCGAAGAGGCGACCTCAGACCTGCTTCTCCCCCATCCCCTTTTATGATTTGTGCAGTGCCGGCGACCCCATTCCCTAGTAGTTGCAACCAAGCTTGCCTCCTAGTCCTTCGATTTGTGCTTGCTGCTGTAGCTCACTATTTGCTCGCCAGTTGCCGGATCGCCGCTGCTCTCCAGCTCCGTCACCATTAGTACAGATCCAGGTAAGGTCGAGCCTCTTTTGAGTGTTGTTAACTTGTTACTTATTCTATTGTCAGATTTGGCTTGGGCGCTTGGCTATTCTCACGCGTTAAAAATATTATTGCTACCCATTTTGTGGATATTGTGTGTTTATTTTGTTTTATTTACCAACAAAGCAAACATGTGATCCTCAGTCAAATACTAGGTCCAGATTTAAATTGCTTTTGTTTGGGTGGGGTTGGATGGGGGAGAAGGTTAAGATAAATGAGAGAATATTTTTTATCCAATACCTCTTCGGAAAATGGGTTGACAGTAGTGAAAGGATCTTAATATACATAATTGAGGCAAGGAGAACCAACGCAATTTGTGTTCTTGGGGTGCCTACATTTCAGTTGATTGCAGTAGTAAATACGTACGTTATGAATGTCAAAATTTGTCTACTTAATTGCTGAACTAACTTGTCCGATTTATGTCTTTTTTTATCTGGTTATTGTGAACAATTATATAGGCTTGACATAGTTAATTATTGTTCCTAAAGTTGAAATAATTTGTCTACTTCATTATTGTCATTGTATTCTTATTTCTTGTTCAATTTATTACAGATATATTATCCATTTATCGCTTTGAAATGGAGGAGCAAGATTCTATGTCAAGCAAGGATTGAGTTCATAGTTCGCTGCCATATGTTGTGTCACTGATTATCATTCCATGTTTTGATATTTGCTGTTGTGTGATGGACCTGTAATATTTGATATTGGCATGTATTTTGGTTTTATTATTAGCTATGACATTTGATTAGCCTGTGGCCTTTGAATCAGCAAACTTTGAGACTGATTATATTCTCATTTGATATTTGCTTTGGTGTAATGGAGTAATGAACTTTTCTTCTACGCTGCGGTTTTGCCTGTTTAAACTTGCATTTTGCTGAAAAGTGTAGCACGCACAAACCAGCAAGCTACAAGCTTTCAAGGCTGTGTAATGGAGTTGTTTGTTATTATATTATGGACTTCGATGGTTGCTTACTTGCTTTACATTTTTATTTTTTTATTGTATTGTTTGCAGTTTATACTTGATTTTAATTTGTAGATTGTTTTAAAGTTATTTTTATTTGGAATTTGGTATTCTCATGATGTTATTCTGTTTAGGACAAATAGATAGGAATTTTTTATGTAACATATTGGAAATTATTGATTAGGAATTTAAAAAAAAAAGGACAAGGGATATGGACTTGGATTGGACCTACTGGACCAGTAACCCGGTCCAGTCTGGTCCAGTCCGCCCAACCCGAGGAACAACGGGTTCCTTATCGGGCAGGACCGGTCTTCGGGTTGGGGTGACCAGCCCGAAGACCAAAATGGACCAGACTACGGGCTAATGTCCTGTCCGGCCCGGTCTGGTCCATGTTCAGCCCTAACATGCATAAGGAATGCATTGCATTGTAATGCAATATATAATGCATGTTGATCACCGTGTTTTTGTTTGGTATCGTATCAAAGGGATGGGAAATAAAATTAATTTTTCAGTTAACTTAAATGTAAATATATGTGAAATGACCAAAATGCCACTAAAGGAAACTTTTCCCTTCTCCATTTAGTACGCCTTGATCTCCACCAATCACCATAATTGCAGATTTCAAGAGACCAACCATTTAACTATTCCTGTAAACCTTCAGGAGTTCCTCTGCCTATGCCATTAGCATCATCTATAACCAGTTTGTCATTTGACCCACGACAGTTGCGTTTTTCACTTGGGATTAAATCCATTGAGCGCTTGATCCAATCAAATAATAATCCAAAGAAAATATGCTGAGTCAAATTTAAAACCACAAACCTAGATCATTGAGTGAATGAGTGAATCCACGAAATCAAACCATGATTTAAAGCTAGACGAACAAGATGATGGGAAACCCACAATGAAGTAGTAGGGAAGAATACTCCAGTATATAGATTTCGATAAGCAATAAATAGCACGTCTACTCAACATAGAAGACCACTGATGAAGATGAAGGGGGAGGTAAGGAAGGAAGATGTGTGGCCGATAATGATGGTTGATAATACTTGTTGAGAGTAAATGTTGTCTTTTCATCTAGGTTATTAAGGGTAAAATTATCATTTTATAAAGGATTACATACATGCAATAAGTATTCATAGGGATCCTCCTATGAATAGATATTACCAAAAAATGTGCAATCTTCTTTACTAATGCAATCTTGATTACCATCAATAAAACCAACCAAACAAGTTATTTATGGTAATGTAATAAAGATTACCATTACACATTTACAATGAGACTAAACCAAAGGCCTTTTATGCTTATGTATCATCTTTTTAATGGTATACTAAGCAAACTCAAGTAATCATTATTACATTACCAAGAATTCAATCGACCAACAAAAAATAGAAGGGAACGGCAGACCAGAGGCATTGTTTTATGTGAAAATTTCATTTAAGGACCTCTATAGCCAATTAATATCAGTCAATCTCTAAAACATTTAAAAACTTCAGTCAACCAATTGGACCAAAATGAAATTAAAATTTAAAAGTAAAATTACAATATTACCCCTTCTTTTTATTTTTTTTAAAAATAAATATTAATGGTCATCGGAGGTCCAGGATGCTCAGGTAGTTGGCACCTCCGATGGTAGAAGGATTTCTTTTTTAAAGAAGGTGGCCGAGAAGGGTTTGAACCCATGACCCCTCAGCATACCAAAAATAATGTGACCATCAAGGCAACCAAGTCATTTAATTATATGGTGCAAAGAAAAACATATGTAACAAAACAAATGCAAGCGTCCAGGTATAAATAAACAAGTGAAATTCAGTAATTCACAACAAAAATTTGACAATTTACAAGTAACATAATGAAATTCACAACCTTAAATACAAGTGTTTACGTGTGAATAAGTAAGTAAAATTCGATGATTTACAACAAAAATTCATGAATTTATAAACTAAATTCAGCGATTCACAAGAAATATAAGAAAATTCACAACCCCAAATACAATTGTTTAAATGTGAATGAGCAAGTAAAATTTAATAATTTACAACTCAACTTCAGGGATTCAAAGAAAACATGAACATTACAAGACTTATAAAAGAATTCACAACCTCAAAAGTTTTACTAATAAGGGTGTCGGCACATCTATTCAGGGAGGTTTTCCTGCTTCCGGTGACATTAAATAAAGATGGGCATCTTCTTAATTTTTCTAATTAAGGCTCGGTCGAATGAAAAAGAGTATGCAACGTTGTATTAGAATTAATTACATATTCCCTGTATTTAATTTTTGTTTCTTCATAATGCTAATGATCTCAAGTTGGCTCTTTTAACCATTTTGAGTTCATCAATACATTATGATGTAATTATATTATAATTTTTCATAATGAATAAGATATTAAAATATGGTTTGCAATATAAATAAATGTTACGTGGACGACATATTGTCAATAATACAATTCTCCGTGTACAGTTTTCATTTCTTCTGGCTCAACACACACACACACTCACATCGAAGCCTTTGATAATTAACTCATAACTTTTATATATTTAACAGATCA